AAACTCAGAATAAAAAATTATTATTTGATCACTTACATCAAACAAATGGTACCGCATGAAAAACACTGGTCAATATTATTTGATTTAATTATCATTTTCAGAAACAAAAATGAAAATGAACTTTATACATAATTTGTAACACTAAGGCTGAATAAATTTACTAAGTATTCGTTGGTTTCCATTTTGTTTTTACTTGATAAATTGTGGTATAGTCTCTGTTTATTAATTTCCTTATGCTTGAGTGAGGCTCTGAAACAACCTTTGGCATCCCGTTTTTAAATGGTAGAATAAAATAAACCTTACCAATACAGTTGTTTATAAACTTGATTGTGGTAGTAACTCTTCTTGGGATTTTATCTTCTACATTTACAGAAATGACGTACTTTTCACTTTGAAGACTATTGGATTCTGGCCAGAGAGAACAAATATGGCCATTTTCACCGATTCCTAGCAAAGCAACATCGATTAAAAGATTAGAATCGGTATTCTTATCTTGTTCTGTTATAGTTTTATTCTTCAAAGTTTCTTCATAAAGCTCGCTTGCATTGTCCAAATATGTTTCTATTGGAAATACTTCTGCACTTCTAATTAGATTTAAAAACACTTTAGAACCCTCATAGTTCAAATTGTCCTTGTCACATCTTTCATCTGCATAAAATACTTTCCATTGTGAAGAATCAAGTTCACTATATCCTGAATAATTCAAAATATCTAAAAGAGAGCCTCCAGAAATCATCAGGTTAAACTTATTACCATCAAACTCTTTAAGAATATTAAACAAATCAAGCTTTAGATTATCTGAATTAATTTGCATGTTTTTGTTGTCCAGGAGCATTGGATTTGAGGGGTATACCTTTTTCGAGTATTTATGTATTTTACATCTATGAAGCCACAAAACAGAAGGATTTAAAGAATGTTATCCTCAAAGTTGTATTAACCTTTTTGCCTAAATATGAAAAGTATCACAGTTATTGATTTTTTAAATTAATAAGTATTTATTTTGGGTTTGATATAAAAATCTAGTTGTAAATTAAACAGCTGTTTCAAATAATTTTATTTGTGAAACAATATTCAAAAACAATAGTTTTATTTTGTCTTTATGTGTAAAAACAATTGTGCTTTGTCAATGAACCATTCAAAATCAATCCCATTTTCAGAGCCTAGTCTTCATAAAAATCTTTCTGCTTCAGACTATAATCAACATGATCACGATATTCAAAAAATCCAGCAAATAGCTGTTGTAATCGTAATATTTATGGTTTTGGAATTGTGGGGCCATTTCAAAACCAACAGCCTAAGTCTTTTAGCAGATGCCTTGCACTTAGTAGTGGATATTTCAGGATTTATGGTGAGTTTAGCCACCCTTAAATTGGCAAAGAAAAGACCAAATAATCATTACACCTTTGGTTATCAGCGTTATGAAATTTTAGGAGCACTTATTTCAGTAATTTTAATTTGGGTTGCTGTAATATACTTGGTATCCGAATCAATTCATAAATTTATTCATCCCAAGGAGATTGATGGAAAAGTTTTTGTTGGAATATCTATCATTGGACTATTAGTGAATTTATTCTGTGTATTCATTTTGCACTCGGATCATTTAAAGCATCATGCCGATTCTGATCAAAACGATATAAAACAAGAAAATAGCAACTATGCTAACAAAACCTCCAGTGATGAAACCATACCAAACTTACCTACTGGCAATTTTCCTGAGACTGTTCATCCATTTTCACAAGAAATTAAAGAATTTACAACAGCTCAAAAACCATTCATAAATAAGAAGAAAAGTAACTTAAACCTAAGAGCGACTTACATTCATGTTATTGGAGATGTTATACAGTCAATTGGAGTAATAATAGCAAGTATTATAATATATTTTTATCCGAAATGGGTTATCGTGGATATAATCTGCACTCTGTTCTTTGCAATATTGGTTTTAGGATCTACTATTATGATTGTGAGAGATGCATGCTTTATATTGGCTGAAGGAGCACCTCAGGGCATTGATCAAAATGAAATAATATCCACATTGATGAGTTATGACAAGGTATTAAAGGTTACAGACTTAAGAGTATGGTCTATTGGAGTTAATTGTGTAGCTGCTACTATAACAATGAAAGTGGATTACATTTTAATTAAAGAATATGAAATGCTATTAAAAAATACAACAGAATATTTAAAGATGCAATGGAATATTGATATCATAACGATACAAATCGATACACCACTGACATCTCAGCCTGAAATATTTCATGTAGGTCATCCCACAAATGTAACTGCATGAGGAGCTATAAAAGTTAAATAAAGTCATCAATATTTAATAGTTGACTTGTAGATCTCCTTGTATTTTGTGATAATTACAAATAAAATAGTTTAATCCCTAGTTTATTAACTATGGAATGAATACAATGGTCTTTAGCCATATCAATGATCAAATTTATTCAAAATATTTCATGGATTTAGATTTATTATATTCATAAAAATTTCATTGAATTAGTACTAAAATTTGATGTTTTTAGAGTATGTGAAGCCCAATTTATTTATGTGAAAAAGTAAGAATTAGATTTCTTTTGTTCTCTATCCTTAGAGCTATCAGGTTTATTAACCCTGGGTCTATAGTTAGTGCTATCTCTTCTAAATGTAACATCCAAGGTCTTCAAAAATCGATTCATTCCAGTTCGTACATCTAATGGCTCAGAAGCTAGTGAATGAACACCAGGCACTCCCTCAAATACAACTACTCTATCTGCCAAATACGTTGCAACAACTAAATCATGTTCAACAATAAATGCAGATTTCTTTTTCGAATAGATGAATTTTTTAATAATTTTACTAATAATAATTCTTTGATCTGAATCTAAAAATGCAGCTGGTTCATCAAATAGATAAATATCAGCATCTTTTCCCAAGCAAAGAATGATTGCAATTCTTTGCAACTCTCCTCCAGAAAGCGATGAAATATCACAATCAAACAGATAATCAATTCTTAAGGGCTTAATTACCTCAGTTTGAAACGATTGATCCATAAATCTTGCTTTCATTTTTAGATTGAGTAAATCCCTAACTGAGCCACGGAACTTAGGTAAAATTTTCTGAGGTTTTAAACTTATTGACGAGGTAGAAGAAACAGTGAATCCGGTATCATCTGTAATCAAGCCAGCCAATAAATTGACTAGTGTAGTCTTCCCCATACCATTTTCGCCTAAAAAAACAGTAATTTCACTATTGCTGAAAGTACCACCAGAAACTTCCAATTTAAAGGAATTCTTAGAAACTAAGCCTTTATCTCTATCCAAATTCGAATTCTTTGCTGGATCCTTAATAAGCATCTTCTCCACACTCTTAACTAATTCTCCAGAAATATTTTTTGAGGCATTTACATATGTTTTAGAACATGCAGGATATGAAAACTGCATTTTCTCACCCTTACCCAGCTCTTCAGCATCTTGTATATTAAATTTTAAAGCAGTTTCTCTAAATCTCATATTTTCAGTAGGAATAAACCCATCCAAAAAAATATTTATCGCAGCTTTAATTGCAAAGGGGGCTGAAATTACTCCGTAGGCCCCAGATTGTCCATATAGAACACAGCCATAGTCACTCATCAGATCCAAAATCGCTAAATCGTGTTCAACAACAATAACATATTTGTCGGTATTTTCTGCAATTTTTCTTATTTCCCTAGCTGCAGTAAGACGCTGCTTGACATCTAAAAATGATGTAGGCTCATCAAAGACATAAACCTCTGCTTCTTGCATGCAAGCTAACGCAAGGGATAACCTCTGCAATTCACCACCAGACAGATCTCTCAAATTACGATTCATTATACAATCCAGTTCAAATTTATTTGTATAATACTCTCTCATTTTTCTACCATCCATTATATTTAATACAAATTCTACGGTCAAAGAATCTTTCTTATAACGCTTTTCCAAAATCCTAGGGATTTTGTCAATGTATTGTATTTTGTTGCTTGTTGTCAGTTTATTCTCCAATAGTTTGGTAAAGTATCCATGTAACTCGGATCCTCGACAATTTTTCAAAATATCTTGCCATTCGGGTTCGTTTTCAAAATTGCCCAGGTTTGGCTTAATTTTTCCGCTGAGAATTTTTAATGCTGTGGATTTCCCAATTCCATTTGTTCCTACGAGTCCAAGAATCTTTCCGGGGCGTGGAACAGGTAGTCTATGCAATTTGAAGGAATTTGGACCATAGCGATGAGAACAATCCTTATCGATATTAGTCGGAATATTTATGATACTAATTGCATGAAAAGGGCATTTTTTCTCACATGCACTACAACCGATGCAAAGGCTTTCTGAGATGTGTGCTTTTTTATCAACCTCTATACATAACTTACCAATTCTGTTGACGGGACAGGATCTCCTACACTCTTGATTACATTTCTCTGGCTTACATAGCTCCTCATTAATAATAGCAAGTCTTTTCAAGTTTGTTTTATCGATATTTTTCGCCATTCTGGGTTTGTTGGGCTTGAAAATTTTTAAAAGCAATACAACATGAACAATACTTAAACAAATATTCCATCACATACCATATTGTCTCTAAACCATTGTATAAACAATCGTAGATATACGATATTCAAGTTATAGATGAACGAGATATCCTTCAAAAAATGATATTCAATGGCTGAAAGTTTATGTAATTCATTATATTGCTTAATAAGAATGTCATACCCGTCCACCAGTCCCAAATATATATAGCCTATATAGACTAGTATAATCACTGCCATAATTATCACTTATTGCTATATTTATTTTATCCATGCTTTCATTAACTTCAAATTCTTCATACCCCTCATTTTGATATATGAACTTCCGTATATCCATTGACCCATTAAATAAAAATGGCTCAATGGAGAAGTTTTTTATTGCAGAGTATCTATTTGCTCTATTTGGATGATAAATAGCAATTGATTTCACAAAATATGAACAGTTAAATGAAAGAGTAATAAGAATTGCTCCAGCTTGTTTGAAAGATGTACATTTGTCATTATCGATCAAAAAGTTATCTTCATTTGTAATTTTCGTCTTAAAAAATCCATAATGGAACAATTCCGGTAAGTATTGTATCTTTGAGGTCTCTAATGTACAAAGATTCCTCGTTTGTTCTGGCTGCAAAATTTCCAATTTATCTTTTTGAAAAAAAATCAAATAAACTATTATACCCAGTAAGACCATATTAATAATTCCATGATTGAATAAACTACAAAAATAATCAAACAGGCGATTGTATTTGGATAAAGCATTGGAAATTCTATCTTTTTGGCCATCAGCAATGCTGGATGAACTTGGCAGAAGTGAATTATTCAATAAAAACCTAGATTCCAAATCATTACAGGGATTTTGGCTACTGATATTCCCCCATATATTATTTATAGAAACGTTTTCTGTGAGACCTGATGAAGAGCGTGGCTTGGTTTCTTCAGCATCATTTATTAATTTGCTAGAATCAGACCGAGCAGTAAAAGATCTCAATGCTAAATAGTCTTTAAACCCTAAACAGTTCCTTTTTAATTTTTCTGAATTTTCATTATTAGAAAGACTCTTATCTGCGTCAACCCTTTCTGCCGAAAGGTTGTTTTGAATAAAAGATGCCGTTGAACTTCTTTCATTTTTTGGATTCGAAGGGATATTTTCTTGCTGGACTTCGCAATTATTGTCTTGTATCACACTTTGATTTTGAGATATAGGTTCATTTGCTAAATTACTTTCTACAATTTCAATTCCACAGGATAGTGTAGAATCCGTCAATAAATCACTAGTGAATGGTCGATTATCATATTCTAAATTCAAAGCACTTGAGCTTGGTTTGTGGATAGGAGATGTATTTGGACAAATATTTAAATCTGACGAATTCAACTTCATTTTGTTATTTTTATTCATAAAGGGTAATGACAGACCAAAATAAAGCAATACTATGTGAATATTAATGTTGGAAGGTATAGAAATTATGTACCCCTAAACTTCTCAAGATTATGAAAAAGTAACAGTTTATTTATTAAACTGAAATGATATAATAATTTTTTTGTTTTATTCTGATGTAAAGGATTTTAACAAATAAAAGATAGTTAATATATGGCATAAAGTGCTTTAGTCATCAAATCTATAGATATTACTGGCATTGATTAATATAAATTGGACTATAGCTGGCTAATGATTGAATATGCAGGACAAAATAGTGTTTTTTAATCAGTAAAAACCTGGAACCCAATATGTATTACACATGAAAATTTCATTCTCTTCTATTTCTAAAAAACTTGGTTAACTACAAATTTAATTTAAAAATTTCTTGCTCAACAATTGATTGCTCATATTTTCTCCTAAATTGATTTGATTCGTGATCCGAAGAGGTTATAAAATTCAGTTTAAAATCAAACTTTGCGTCATAGAAGACCAAATTTTCTGGATTAGCACAATGTACATGATCCAATTGAAATCCAAACCCCCTTGCATATTTGTCTATGACTGTAAAGATTTTCCTGACCATATTATGAAGAAAACAATATGCCTTTATATCCATACAAGCTAGCACTTTGGTCCTATCAAAGTCTATAGAATGTATTTTGCTGATCGTAAGATCGTCTATACTTTTGTTGTAATCAGTTCGTGGGTTACTATGTTTACTTAGTTTATAAAAATTGGTCATTTCTTTAATTTTAACTCCAGCCTCTTGATATTTATCAATCTGTTCCTCTTTGCAAATAAAATAGTATTTGTAGTGTCTTTGCCGACATGAATGCCTCGCATTGAAATTATCAGGCACTGGTGCCCATCCTTTTATTCGAATTTTATCTGGCAAATATTTGTTAATGATTCTATCGTAAGGATACTCTGTGAGATCAGAATCTTTAAGTTTAAATTGATCTTCACTATAATAATATTTTTTTGAATTTCCATGAGACGAATTACTTGATGATATAAAATCAACGCTTTCTTCCAATCTAATGCCTGACACAGTTTTCAGCTCATCCAAATCGCTAATAAATTGAGAAGTTTCTTCAGATAAACTTCCAGCATCCGATAAAATATGTATGCCTGAATTGATATTTAGTTTACATAAATCTTCTGATTGAGGTAATATGTTCCCTACTAATCCACCCCAACGGTTTTTTTCAACAGTTTTGTTTGGTAATTTCATATTTAATGAATTGCCTAATCCATTACTAGGGGTAATTTCAAGTTGTTTGATTTCATCAGTAAACTTATTTAAAGTTACTTTGTTACTTTTGACAATTAATGTAACTATCATACTGACAGCACTCACTCCAGCATCTGTTCTACCACAAAATGTAAGCATATTTTCAGAAATAGATATTCCTGATCTCAATATTGCATTGTTTAAAACTTCACTAATACTAAGTCCAATTGGGTGTTTTTGTACTCCTTTGTATTCTCTCCCATCGTAGCATATTTTGAGTGCTATTGTTCTTAAATTCTTTACATCAAAATAACTTTTTTTGGCAAATTCAACATTATTTTTATTATAAATAATTTTGATTAAATCAGATTTGGAAAGATTAGAAAGATACTCTTTAAAATTTGTCATTGGGGTTATAAAAACTAAATAGAAAAACTTCTAACCATAAAAATAAATAAAATAGAAAATGTATAAATTCGACATCTTTAAAAATACATGGCTTTGTTAAAGCCACAGGCCATTACTGTGTATCATATGTACTAATAGCCCTTTGTTAGAATTCCACTTTTAAACATCTAAATTTTTACAAAATTTTAAAGCCCCAAATGGACAAAGTTTTTAGAGTAAATCCACATGTGTTGGTTAATGCAATTGCTGAGCATTTAACAAAAGAGGAAATCGCATTGCCCAATAATGTCGATCTGATCAAGACCGGATTTGGTAAGCAATATTCTCCAAATGATGAAAAATGGTTCTATACTAGAATGGCAAGTATCGTAAGATTAGCAATGAAAACTGGCAAAGTAAGCATTAATGGATTAGCAATGAAATACTCTGTCAGACATAACAGGGGTGTTAGACCAACAGGATTTGCCTCAGCCTCCAAATTTGTAATAGGCTCTGCAATTGAAAATTTAAAAACCATTGGATGGTTCAACTTCCAGCAAAAGAATATTCTAACAGAGAAGGCTAGAAATGTCCTTGAGGAGATTATTGAAAAGGTTAACGAAGAATAAATATAATTAAAGCCTAATTTTTTGATTTGTTAGGCTTTTATTCGTTAACATGGGACTATTTTTAGTTAAATTTACTAGAGAGTTATATTCTCTTTCAGGCTATTGTTTATCCATTTATAAGATTACCTAAGACAGTTTTGATCAAATGATTTTATTTATATCAAATTATCAACTTTTTTGATAATCATTAATGGGAAAATGCTCGCTTTATCATTCAGAATCTGTAAAACGTGATTTCCTTGCAAAACAATGCATTTTTTTGTTCCAACAACCGAAATTGACCCTCCACATCCATATTTAGTCTTCAATTTCTTAATCAGTATGTCCATCTCTTTCTCTGGATAATTAGATATAATTGTAGTGTCTTTATTTTTCGTTTTCTTGAAGCAAATGCTTATTGCATTGCTTTCAGAATTTTCCATGGGTGAAAATATTTGAAAAAATAATTGGGGAGCTATTCAAGTCAAAATATTTTAGTCTCAAATGTGAAATTTTATCAAACTACTTAATTTTATGTGAATTTAATAATAGAATATTTGTAACTAACTTTCAGTTTCCAAGCTTTTGAATATTATAATTGGCTCATCATATTCAAACTCAAAAGACCAAAAATAAT